ATCATGGAAATTGATAGACATTTGGGTTGTGCCATGAGTGGCTTAACAGCTGATTCTAGAACAATGATTGATCATGCTAGAGTCGCTGCTCAAGTAAATATAAAATAGTATCAACATATATATATATATATATATATATATTAATTCTAGACATTAACAACTACTATTTAACAATCATAATACTTGTTTATTAGAGTCATACTTTTACTTATGCTGAAAAGATCAAAGTGGAATCGGTCACTCAGGCAGTATGCGATTTAGCACTGAGATTTGGTGAAAGTGCTCACGGAGAAGATTCAATAATGGTATGGAGGTTCATGAAAAAGATTAGTTAGATAATGATGTTATTAATTGAAAAAGTCATAAATAATAGTATAATTAATGATATAATTAATATAATCAATCAATTCCAATTTTATTTAAATTAGAGTCGACCATTTGGTGTTGCATTATTAATTGCAGGAATTGATGAGAAAGGTCCTCAATTGTGAGTACTGGCTGTTTACGATAATATCAACAACGATAATAATAGTAGTGTAGTAATTAATTAAAAAGAAAGAGTTGTGTGGAAACTTTGAACTAACTATTTTTTTAATTCATTATATGGGAAAAAAGATATCATGCAGATCCTTCTGGAACTTTTATGCAATATGATGCTAAAGCAATTGGATCTGGATCAGAAGGTGCACAAACTGAATTACAAGAAGAATATCACAAGGTTAATTTTTTAATTTTCATTGAGAGAAATAATAATAATAATAATAATAATAATAATAATAATAATAAGAATAATAATAACATTAATTGACTGATGATAATAATTAGTCGTTGACATTGGAAGAAGCTGAAACATTATCACTTAAAGTGTTGAAACAAGTGATGGAGGAAAAATTAAATAATACAAATGTAGAACTTGCATCTGTAACACCAGAACGTGGGTTTAGGATTTATAGTGAAGCAGAATTACAAATAGTAATTGAGAGATTATAGGTAATAAATAGTATTATTGAGAAGAAAAAGTGAAGAATGAAAAAAGTAAAAATTATTTATTTAATAAAGTAAATAAATTAAAAATTGTTAAAGGAGTTTACTATATATTGTTTTTGAACGATATCTCAAAATATTGGATATGGTTTCTAAGCCAAAATATTCTACATAAAGAGTTAGAAAATTGCTTTTTTCATGTTATGGCCCTTTTCTATTGTCCAAGCACTTTTCATGGACATTTTTCTATATTAACATCCCATTCAACGAATTTTAAATATAACTCATTGAAACAAGATTTTCATTGGATTAATTTATTTATATGCATTAGATCGTGTATATTGATCCGGATCAAATCAAAGCGAATCATTTATATCTTAGATATATTAAATGGTATATATTGATTCGTTCGAAGTCTTACGAACCTATATAGTCTGTTCCACGACTTCTGCGACCATTCTGCAACTTTCTTGTTCCAGTACGTTACGTAAGCTGGGTCTCTTGAAGCTGATACCCATCTCTGAGACAAGCTCACATTTTGTGAGAAGGAGTTGTTGCTGCTGTTAGGGGTCCGCTTTGCATTTTTTGGTTCATTCAATGGGTACTTTCTAAATGTTGCATACACGGATGTGAGAAGCGGATCCACACTTATATTCTCTCTTCTAGATTATCAGAGTTCTTTATTATTAATTATTACATGTCCTTGAGAGTTTGTATGATTACGTCAATTATATTGAAGGCGTGAGGTGTTTACGTGATTGTAACAAAGGAAATTAAGTTACAATTGACAGGCGATGAAAAATTGCTCTTCATACAAGATACACTTTGATGGCCTTCCTTAGGCTCCATTTGAAAAATAATTCTCTGATTCTGATTCTGATTCTGATTCTGATTCTGATTCTGATTCTGATTCTGATTCTGATTCTGATTCTGATTCTGACTCTGATTCCTCTGATGAACAACTTGAAATTGATCTCAAGGATATCACAAAGCAACTGAACATGATTCCATTATACGAGGTGAATAACGAGTTGAATTTTGATTCCTGCTTCACTGCCCATTTTAATATATTTATATACTTTAGTGGAGAATTGGAGGTATAAATATTACGCAACGATTTCGTCAATATCAACAAAAGGTGGTCAATAAAGTAAAAAGCAATGGATTAACATGGAAAGATTCTTACGAAATTTTGTAAGTATTTTGAGGTGCTACAAGAAGTAAAATCACGCTCTTATTAAATTTATTATCATTTACAATCATACCTCAGAGCCTTATCATCGATCATTATTCTTGCCCATCCGTGCCCTTATCCGGACTTTACCGAAATCGAATGGTATACAATAACTATAGAGAAACCATTCATGATAGAACAACCTATAATACCATCTTCGATATCCAATTCACTTCAAGAAGCGACAAGAAAACATCTAATGCATGAAGATAGCTATATTTACGCAGATAGATCAATATTAGGTAGAGCCGCAGCTTCTACGTTTAACGATTTGTAAGTTGATTTCTACTTAGCTTCAGGGAGAAGATCAAATGACTAATACTAATTATAAACATTTTATATTGTAATAAATCTTAACATACTTTAGACGCAATATCCCTCCACTTGCTCCGTCCAAAATGTCCGAGGATTTACATTGCTGCAATCTGTTGTACCCCCACGTGCGTCCCATATTTAATCAACTATTCAAAGATTATGATATTCAACTTAACCGTGCCGTAAAAGGAACCAGAAAAAGACCCGATTTCTCGTGTTTAGTCGACAAAATACCGGTTCTTGTTTCCGAATTTAAACCTCTAGGATGTACACCGCTTCAAAAAAAGAGAGATTTTGTGAGAGTGCACTTAAGGGCCAAGAAATCATTAAATCAACAATTGAATTTAAAAGGTGGTCCCGGTGAAGTGATGCTATTTACAAATATGGGTATACAATATATATAAGATGAACTGTTGGCTTTTTCATCTATATCTGTTTGCTAAATTTGACACATGTATATTATCTAGGTGACGTAATTAGTTCATTTTCTATGGATCTCAGCAAGGGACTATGTTGTTCATGGTCTTTCCATACGACTAAGTTGACAATTGACAGGGCTCAATACCATTGGTAGAATCTACATTTTCTCACTTCGTCGCATTAGAGGTATACATTGTTTCAATTGGCATGATGAATCTTTCATTTTGAGACTTACAACAATTTTTGCATTTACAGAAGCGAGTTAATAATCTAGCCAAAGATTTTAAAAGACGCAAACAACCATTCACGCCACCCGGACAAATGAAATTCATGAGCGAATTTCCCGATTCTCCACAAATTAAGCGGTTGCTTGGATGATCATGAAAATAAAACAAATATCTATCTTGACTAGACGATCAAAAAACAATAGTAAAATTTTTAGAATGGTTTTTTACAGCATAAATACTATGTTTAATACTTATTTAAAAAAGATTATTATGAGACTTGCAGAATCCTTACATCTTTATAAATTTTTTATAAATTTTAATTACTAATAAATAAATAAATAAATATATATATTGATCTATATGCTGTATAATCTCAAAAATTTAATTTTCAATAAAATGTGATAAGGAATGAAAACAAACTTGTTCGCCTGAAAACAAAATTTTCAAATGAATGAAGCTATTTTCGTTATTTTCTATGGCATGGCATTTCTTTGTTGAGAACATATTTTACTATACATATAAAAAGTGTGATGACTTTTGTTGTATATAATTACCTAATTAAATTGTTTTTAATAAATAGCCTTTTGAATATCATAAGTTGTTATGAATCTCAAACATTAATTTCATTTTTTGTTTTCTGTCAGGTGTAGCAAAAAAAAACTAAAGTACTTCAAAAAAAATTTAACCAACTCGCTAATGATAAAAATACTGGAAAAATTTGAAAATATTTGATAAAAGGCTAGGTTGAATCCAAACTTTTCATTTGGAATTCGTAAGTTATGTAGAGAAGGGAAAGGAGTTGCCGCTTCTGCCGCAAAAAAAATTTCTGCTAATGTAAAACCAATCCGAGAAAGAAAACAGTAGATGTGATTCAAGAATGGGTCAATAAAGAAAAAAATAAAGGAATGAGAGATAATAGTGAAGAAAAAAATGGATGATGACAAAAAGATATTCAATTAGATAATAAAAAAATGGCCGTAGAACTTTTAACAAAAATATTTAATTATGTTGAAAGTAATAATTATAAACACTATATTCATGCATTCTAGTCAATAAAAAAGACGCATTCTAAACTTATGGAAAGATCCATTTTCTTCTATTGGAAGTACCAAAATATTGATTAGTGGTTTCTTAGTAAAAGATGACGAGGATTTCTTAACAAAAATAATTTTAAATTATTGGAGAAATCACCATTATTATACAATTTACAACTGGATTGGATTTTTAAGGAATTAAATTGTAATTTAAATAGGCTTTTTATAAATGGTAAATGTGGAATTCATTGCTTAGAAAGAAGTTTATTTTACTTCTATTCGTATGAATCATTAATAATAGATTAATGTTTTCTCCAAAACCTTCATGAATTAAATTATGAATTTAACTATAACCCAATAAAACGTTTCTGATAATTGTGGCTTGCTTGATAAATTATCAAATTCTAGTAGAAATATTCAAGTTTTAAAAAAATAAGATATAAAGGTTGTTCAGATAGCAATAAGGTTGTTCATAATCTAAGCTCAACTTATAAAAGCACAACATCAAATACTATTAATGTGTATGGAATTTTAAATTTATCAGATGATTTCATGAAAGCAATTTCTATTCAATAATTTATTATAAAAGTAATGGAAAAATTCTTAATAATGTTAAACAATCGTTTCTTTTTTGATGATAGCACAATCGTAAATTAGATTGATAGCTATTTATTATTATTTAAATTAATGGGAAAATCTCAAATTTTGATAATGTTGAAGATTTGGAAGAATTAATTAGACAAAATTGTAAAAATCCTAGAATATTTGGATGTAATATTACTATAACAAGTAAAATTTGTTATGCTAAATCGGAATCACCCTATTAGCTGACTGACGAAAAGAAAACCCCATTGCTGCTGCTGCGCCAGCGAGATTTTCCTGCCACAATCATGTGCAGCAGTGGGGTCAATTTAAGTCCCCTCACTCCTACCCCACCTAAAAATTTCAGGCCTTTCTTCCCATTCTCGTTCATGTACAGAAATATGTTCCTTATGTTTCGGGCAGCATTAACATCATGATTCCAGAGGGTCTGGCACATGTGTCTACATGTCCAGAGCGTCCAAAACTGTTGAGGTTTACTAAATATCCCTTCACACTTGGAACATATTCTGCTAGTTCTAAATTCATTAATAATTTTTACTCTACATCTTTTCCTT